ATTTGGAACCGCGACAGAGCAGGGCAGACCGACTTGTAGCTGATACGATGTGGGCTGTAGGATCGCTCGGTGGAGAGTCTCATTACACCCCATCACCAGTATGTAGGCGATCGCGCTATCGGTTAGGCAATATGCTTATGAATGTACTTGAAGGAATTTGAGATCGGGGAGTATGTGGATTTTAAGGAGGAAGAAGATGGTCAGAAAGTGCGCGCACAGGTGATTCGTTATAGATTCACCTCTACGGGTTATGTCGCAAGTATGGGATATATTGTCAAACTCTCTAACGGAAAGGTGATCGAAGCTGAACGAGAACAGCTAAGTGGCCCTGATCTTCATGACATGGAGACTTCGGATAGTAGAAAAAGGCGGGTGATCAGTAGCACATGAAGTCATGCGCTGAATTTTGCTTCAATTGCTTCCTTACAGAGCGACCTTAACAGATGAAAAATATCCATCCCGTTCCAAGCTGTCCCAGTGACTATAAGGATCTCGAATACGGGTATCTGTCACTTTAACATGGCCACTAGGAAAGACAAAGCATGCTGTGATACCTGTCTTGTCCTGCTCCTCATCGCCTGCCGCCCACCGCGTATATATAAAGTCAGATCCTGCCTTTTTATCCTTATCGACAGCTTGATCTTCGACCAATAAATTACCCGCCTGAGATAAGAATTCAATCCTTTGAGACCACCCCTCTTCAATACCTAGGCCAAAAATGTCCTGCCAGCCTCGGCTACAGATACAAGCCGCAAACTCCTCGAAGAACTGCTCCTTCCCTTCAAAAGAGGGTGGGGCGCACCCCATCCGTAGTTCGACGGCAGCGAAAGAGCCAGATCTTATGATTAGTACGGATGGATATGCATCAAAGAGGTTGAGGGTCGTCAGACTTGTCGGCGCAGTCCAAAGAGCGGGAAGTGCATCCACTTTTGCAGTTGCAAGTATATGATTAGGCGGGAGGTCTGTGTGCCGGTGGTTAAGAGTGACCTGCGCCCAAGACTGGACCTGGTGCTTTCGGATAATGGTGAGCAGCGTCGATATACCGTCGCGTAAAGACTCTATCGGGGGGAGGGCGCTTGGCATTGCATTATGCCTAAGCAGATGGTTACTATGAAAAGGTGTGGCAGAGAGGAAGGCAAACTGACCATAACCAAGCATCTCTAACATGTTCACCTCTGAGCCCTTCATGCTCTTTGAAAATAGCTGAGAACGCCATAAATCGCCTCAGTTTCAGATGCCCTGCAGATGCAAAGTCGTGGCGATGTGGCGTGAAAGAGCTGCGGGAAACCTCGGCGCGCCACACTTCACGTGTCTCAAGAAGTCGGATTGACGTCATCCGCGGGACCAACCCTCTTTAGAGGCTTGAGGTCGCCATCCTTGAAAATTTCCACTGCCATCTCCAGATCGATAATCTCGACTGTTAGGTGGAAAAGGCCTTTTGTGACATTAACCATCACGAAATCGCGATAGGAAAAGCTCCGATGGATAATGCGCTGGAGATATGGCAGCGAGAACGTATACACGCTCCCCGTGGATTCAATGCGTCCCTGAGGGCGCTGTGCAGCTTCACCTTGCTCAAGTACTGCTTTGAACTCTGCTGTCTCTTGGGCTCGTATTGTGATAGCGAGTGGATACCCAGGAGCAATGCCAATATACACATTCGCATACCTCAGCGACCTGATGATATGCAGTGCTCGGCTGAATTCAAGCTTCACCACCTTGTCTACTTTTTCTGTCCATCTCATAAGCATAAGCTCAATCTCGGTCATGTAGACTTCATACCTCTTTCATCTATCAGCAACTTTGATCTCGGATAGTCGCGAACATAGAAATAAATTTCTGATGCCAATGTCGCAAAGCTTTCTGCCTCAGCCCATCTCTGTGCAGTGAGCAGGTGGACGATCTGCTGGACGTCAAATGATGCAATCAAATGCAGTCTATAGAAGTTAATATAATGTTAACAATAGATGAACTACACATAAAGGCACATACTCGTTGATCGTCAGATATGGGGCAAGAAGAAGTAGCAGACCAGGGTTAAGAATAAAGATGGCTTCAACCGATTGTCCCGTTTGAAAGATGCGTTTGAGGTGTTGCCTCTCGCGGTGCTGTTCAGAAGCACTCAATGCATCCCAGCTTCGCATCACTTTCGCAAGCATCTGTGTTTTCGCGGATCGTTTTCCCCGGCCGACGACAGCAGGTCGTGGTGGCAACATCTCTTCGCAAGTTGAGAATATCTTCCACAGGTTGAGTTTGTGAAAGATACATCGGCGAGCGTGTGTAGAATCGGTTTCGCCGCGGACGCAGCAGACCTGATACGACCATTGTGCGCTCGAAATATTTTGAGCTGGCCCCATGTACAGTCCTGGATCCATTAACCATTCGCAATAGCTTTCCGACACCTTTTTCACGTTAGATGGCCAGGAACGTATAGCTTCATGCAACCCTTTGGTAGTCTTGAAAGTCATCTCGCCTGTACACTTAAGAGGTAATGTAGGTACTGGAGAGTTGTTAGCTATGGAGTTTACGGAAGTTGTTTCAGCCTTGTTGTTCATCCTGCCGGCACTAGCAGTGTTGTTGTTGACATGGAGGCTCTCTCTC